TACAATATTATACAGTAAGGGTAGTTACTTTATTTCCAACGCTGCACATGTGCCCTGAGCATAAACATCAGTTCCCCTTCTCAGTATGAGTGTACTGGGGAAATCTAAATCTGAGTACACACACACGCGCGCGCGCACACAGCGCGGACAGCGGCCTTCATCTCGGCCTTATCTTTGCCTTGTGGCCTTGCAGTGTCTCACGCGATGTTCAAACGATCGGGCACATCTGACCGTGACAGAGAACAATATATGTCTCTTTATTTGGAACCGATCATAAAACAGAGCGCGCGGCTTCAAGGCCTGAGGTTGAAGAGAAAGCTTTATCCGCAGTCACGTGATGTTCAGGACGCTTTTGAACGCTTTTGCCCTCCGTACTGTGGTCAAACTGATAGGCTGTTAATCTGAGTTTTAATGTGGCACCATTGGTCAATATAATGGGATTAGGAGTTTAATTCGAAGAAATAAGTGGCCATTTGTTCTTTTCTAGGGGTCAATTCAGACCTCCGTCTGAGTTTTCATTTATTTACTGCAAAACGATTGCAAAATATCTGTCTCGAGGCCTGCAGGATCGTGTCACCTGAGAAGTCACAAGGATTCAATCCAAAATTATTCTCTTTCAATCCATGTCATTTTTCGTTTAGCCTCGCAACAGTTATATCAGATAAGTAACTGACTGCGCACTGAGCTTTAAGTTTTAAGCTTATTACAGGAGGTCAGCAAGTCCCCCAGCCACGTGTTTCCAACTTAAATTATCGAGAATTATTATAACAAGTATTAAGGCGCGTTTGTGCCGAAGGGCTCTGTGCACGCACCGGCAGAGATCTGTGCGAGCGCCGGGACTCTCGAACTGCAGTAAAATAGTTATAAGGAGCAGAATCAGCCTCACCTCAAGACAAATTCCGGTGTATTTGGTTAAAATAATCTCAGGGAAGTGACTGGGAAGTTGGGGGCAGAGAAAGGATTTGCGGAGGGTCTGGCGAGAAGAAAAGGTCTTAGCTTTCAGCCCCTTTGTGGCGAGCTGATGAGTGCGTCCTGACAGGGGTTAACGTTCCGTGAAGAGGTTAAATAAACGGACATTCCCTAGGCCTGGTGGCTTAGGGGACCGTCTGCGTGGACCGGACACCTTTGCACTTGCACTAAACATTTACACTTCAGATCTGTTCCCTACACAATGCAATTATGAACAAATGCAAAAAAACAAACAGAATGGATAGGATACAGTCAGAAGAGGTAGGCCAAATTCAACACCAAAACATCACTCAATATAAATCAATGTAGTAAAAAAGCAAGAGTTGTGATTCAACTCATGTTTCTATGAAATAGATTGAATTGGTTTTATATTTTTACGCACTTTCAAGCGAACAAATAATATATTATTTTTTTAAACATTATTTTAAGATAATTTAATAACACCAAAGCATGTGTACAGTATCTCTCTTTGTGTTTTGAGATGATGTATGATAATGAACAAAAAGTTAAAATTAGAATGTATTTCCAAGAGTATACTTGCAAGCTTTTATGAAAATAATATTCTACATGATCAATATTCAATATACATCAAAAAACTGCGCCTCTAGCCTATAAGTATAGGATTTTGAAAATCCAAAACAACAACACCGGGTGTAAAAAATCAACAACTTCCAAGTCCTTTTTAAGCTGAACATCTGAGTGCACATGGTCCATGTGAGGTGGGCTGATATGGAGCTAAAGCTCTGCTGTTTGTGCACCACACTATGCTGTTGACTTGTGCTTAGAGGAAAGAGAACGGCTGAGATTATGGGCAATTAAAGCCCACTTTATGCTAGTCTGCTGGCGTCACTAAGTCTGGCCAGGAATGCACACCTCGGCTAATACTATCAATGAGAACAAACTCTGCAGCAGCAACTTCTTATGTACAGTGAATTATTAATGCCAGGACTAGCACAGGAGCTAAGCTGCAGGCATGTTAATTCAAGGAGGTAAGATGGTGTATGAAATGCACTTTTTACAACAGCTTCCAGTTTTGAAAAAGAATATTATATTCTGCAAATGAATATACATACCTGAGAGATGTGTGAAAACATTTATTCAGACACAAAGTTCAATGGCAGTGAGTGAATGCCACCATTAGAGGGCTCCACAAAATCATGACAACAACCATGCTGGTGCACCATGCTGATTGCATTATTGGACTGGTCTAACAATTAGAAATATATCAACTAAATAAGAAGTTTTGACTCGTAAGGCAGGTTCCAAATAAAGTCAGCTGAGGACTCTATCTTTCCTGTCTGTATTGGGGTCTCTTAATGTAAAGGGAGATGTGAGATGCCCCTAAGGAGTGCCCTGGCTTCCTGTCTCTGCCCCTGTCTGCTGCCTGTGATGGAACAAACTAGGTCAAAACGTCTCCCGTCTCCACTACCATTGACTGGAAATCCTGCTGGGATGAGGCTACTCGCATATAAGACAACTTTGAATTGAAGGCTTACATTGCAATTGATATCATATGGGTGTTTCATGCAGATAGTAAATAGGAAATGATGGCCATTATGATCAGTAATGTAGTACAAACAGAGAGTTTGTTTTTTAATATGATCTGAATCCTATGATGCTAATCCAATTTTTTAAAAGTCTTAGGCTAGAATAGGAAAATGTCAACGATGACTCTTTGACTGTTTGAGATCGATCATCGGTAATACTATAAGTCATATACTAACATTTGTGCTTGAAAAAGTGTGATTTACCTCCACTGCCATGTTATTTCACTTAGCTCTTGGCTGGTGCTTACAAAGAAGCTGGTCTGGCACCAGAAAGGCCTGGCACTCATCGGCTGGAAAGCTCTCTGTTTGGCCAAATGCAGAAACATGCTCAATTTGCAGCAGCTGTCTCCTGGAGCACTCTCTGCAGCTGATCTGATGGTGTGTGGACGCGGGTTTAACTGATGTCAGAGCCGTGGTGGCGGGCGGAGGTCTCAATGAAGGATCAGGACAGTGAGCCTTGTGAAGCAAAGGGCACGCCAGACGGGATGAGGATCACAAAGCCAGAGACACACTGCAGGGATAAAGGAGGGAACTGATAGTGAGAGCACAGCCTCTGGTCAAAGCTGTTGGCCTCAGAGCAGAGGAGCCGCCCGGGAAGCCACATCAGTCAGACGTGGCCTGTACACACACTGAGATGATCTTATAGTGCAGCCCTCACAAAACACAACAGCAACATTAGGGATGGCCAATGTTAGAAGTGAGACTAAGAAATGGCTATATAGTACATATTGTATTGGGAAAACATGCAATTTACACTGCTGTTATAAACTCTTGTTGCACAATTTATTTCCAAAATTAAAATGTAAATAACGGTATACTAAAATTTGTGAGTGTGAATTTGCAACATGTTAACAACTTAACAACCCAAATATTCTTGCGCTTGTGTGTTTTACTGATTTATCTGCAAATGTATACAAGTATATCATTCTTGCACTGCAGAGGATGCAGTATTTCACACTTTCTTTATTAAGCTGAAGATATTCCTTCTGTTCTTTAACGTGTGATGAAACACTGAAAATTCCCCACTGTGGGACAAATAAATGATCACTTAATCATAACCTTACATATAGTTTCCATGAGTGAGAAATCAAAATTATGTGGTAATAGTATTCTTATTGTAATCATACTACATTTGTATACTTTTGTCACTATCATTGAGCACATACATACCAAGTTCAAACCCTCTCATCACATAGTGAGTTTCGTTGAGCTCGGAAGACAAACTAAGGACAACGCAAAAGTGAAAGGTCACTGCACTGAATCCATTCAGGGAAATAAAAGCTCAAATGTCTTGCCATTTTAAAGGGAAAGGGTAAGGAGACCCGTCAGCGCTCGTTTAAATGTTTCAAATAACTAAACGTGATCTTAATCACAGACGTTGTAACCTTGGGAAGATTATAGTCGAACATGCGCGAGAATTGAAAAAAACATAATAGACCCATATATTCATGGGTCCCAGAAATAATGTGGTAATTAGGAATAATTTATAATTTAGAAATGGAAAATTACGTCTTTTTGCTGTATCAGCTATCAAATTGTAATACGGTGATACAATTTGATAGCTGATGCATCCATGGAGACTATAAGTAATTGGTATACTCCTTGGGCTGGAGACCTACAGAATAATGAGCAATCGATTTTATTTTTGCTTGTTCACGATTTCAATTAGGAGCGTGCGCCACACTTTTTGTGTTCCCATAATATACAGCTCTGAAGTCTCCAAAACTGTGGATAAGCTTGCACGTAGACATTTTCCTCGGGATGTCGTGAGTTTGTTGTTTTACGGGATTCAATGTACAAAAGCTTTGAAGCTCATCAGTCAAGCAGCACTTAACCTAAATATTGTTCCGTAGTCACGTGCATGCCAAAACCCTTCTAAATGACGCGCAAGCAGTGTGTGAAGTCTGCAATCGATTTGATGTTTTATTGCGTGCATCACACTCATTACAGTAGAGACAGACTCGTGGACAAGCTCATATCCACAGGCTCCACTCAGTCGAAGAGTCTAATAGCGGCCTAAATTGTGTCTGGACCACAGAGGAGCGCACCAGCTCAGTGCGTCTGGAGAGTGGACTCGAGCGGACCCAAAGGGTCTACCGTGGGATGCTGTAGTATTGCATGTTTATTTTGATTTGCTCTAATTGACCCAAATAAAGAGATCTTGGGTAGGAACAGTTTTTTTTCCCTAGTCTGTTTGGCCTGGGGGGGTTGGGCCAACGCGCTCACACGCTCACACACAAACAGAGCGCGCACTCGCAGGGGCAGTGGATGCAGGGAGCAGTATCCTTTTGCAATAGCCGGCTCCGTCGCTCATTCATGTCCTTCGCGCTTTGAGTGTTTACGTTTATTGTGTAGTGTCAGATCGCAGGTCACAGGAGATTCCCTCCACGTCTCCACGATGAATCCGCGTTCAGCAAGGGGAAACGCGCTCACGAATGACTTGGCTTGGACTTAAGGGCGCACAGCTGAGCCAGACGAACAAACATGCCGCAGACTTATTCTTCCAAAGGCTCTTCCTTTTTCATTGAGAACCTTCTTTCCACTACGCGCATCGAGCACACACGAGATGATGCTGAAGCTGCCGCTAATTCATCACTGACAGTCCCACAGTACGAAACACGCGCTCCGGTGTCCGAGGGCTCAGTGGCAAGTGGCCACTCTATCACAGACTCACCGCTGCAGTGGTACCGTCCCAGTGCCATCCCAAACTTCAGTGCTTCCGAAACAACAGCTAGTGAGTATTTGCGCATATCGATTAAGCTTTTCCTTCACGGAGTCAATTCATAAACCTTTCTGTGCATTACGTGATACGTTATCATACGAGAGGAACTCAAAAAGTGATCCTGCGGAGCTACTAACATGTTTAATCACGACTTTATGAGTCACAAAACAAAACAATGTCGCCACAAGAAGAGCTAAACCATAAACTCTATGGAAGCATTAACACTCATTACAATCCTCAACCAAGCTCATGTGCAATTAAATAAACAAGGACACGAAAGGCATTCAAAAGTGGAGTTGTGTATATTCTGTTTAAATATGCTAGTACAACAAAGCCTACTGCAATTATAGACTACATTCAGAAAATGTAGGTATACTCAAAGCAATATTTTCTGTTCCAGGTCCACAGGAAAGCTCCAAACCACAATTATCTCCAGCAGCGTTGACGTGTGGGAGAATATCTCCAGCCGTGTCCGAGTCCTTAACAGAAGACAGCGAGGAGACAGACAGAAGGATCGGTGAGAAGAGCGCAGCGGAGGATGGGGAGGAAAGGCGCTTTGAGAAGGGCTTTTGCCGCAAAAAGAAAACTCGCACAGTGTTCAGCCGCAGCCAGGTGTTCCAGCTGGAGTCCACCTTTGACATGAAGCGCTACCTGAGCAGCACTGAGCGGGCAGGCCTCGCCGCTACACTGCAGCTCACAGAGACGCAGGTCAAGATCTGGTTCCAAAACCGTAGGAACAAGTGGAAAAGACAACTGGCTGCAGACCTGGAGGTGACTCACGTCCCAAACACCGGGCAGCGCATAGTACGGGTTCCTATCCTGTACCATGAAGGTCCAGTGTCCACTGGCTCACTGGGGCCGCACATGCTTCCAGCGGTCACGGGCTTCACTGGCTCCATCAACTACCCACTGTCCTCTTTCGCACAGTCAATGAACGTGTTGAGGTCTCAGATGTCTGGCCTCGTATAATTTTATAATGCAAAATGAAAGCCGATTCAAAGACTAAATCCTATAAGCCTATGTTTTATACCAAGTTCAAATCACATGGCTACTGAAAAATGCCGAAGCGGCATATAGTCTACAAGCATTATTTTTAATCTTGTTTGTTTTTATGTATAAAGGCACATTTTTAAGTAACCATTTCCACATACAAAATAAACAATGAAAGAAAACTGCTGAACCTGACTCTTAATTCAAAGTGGTCTTTAAAATGCAATAGATGAATATTGACTTAACAGCTATCTAAAGTGAGTTTAAGATGACCTTTTGCTATAGATAGGAATTACCAAATTAAAGTTAATGAAACGACAAGCCTGATTGAAATCAGCCAGATAAAATCATAAATACTGATAATCAAAAACAGGTGATGAAAGTATTTGTAGAGCTAGACAGTAACAAAAGCGCATGCGCGTGAGTGGTAGGCGGAGGAAGGTTCACATCCCACTGCTGCCATTGGCTGAACTGTTGAAAGTCCTCCGCCAATCAGCGAGGCGAGCATGGCTCCATCCAGAGAGTCGGAGCGACACAGAGCAGTGCAGGGACAGCTCTGAGGCGGCTGCTATGAGCGTAGACCATCCATCCCCAGTGTTTACATGAGGAGCGTCTCAGGACTCACGCCGTGGTGAATATGAACAAAGTGCACGCACCATGCCGTCCCACTGCTGCACTCACCTTTACCATTGATAACATCCTTAACCTGAAGTCCAGTTCGAAGCGCGCAGAGAGCCTGCCTTCTCCGCAAAATGAAGTGGCCACGTGCACAGACATCTACCAGAAAGACTCGGGACAGCACCACAGACCTGCGCTCAGCGGTAAGACATGTTCTTTCTTACCTCGATGTCTCCGAGTTTGTCTTACGCATTTCTCATTGAACCGGATTCTTAATCACTTTCTTGTGTTGGCAGAGTTAATCGCCGATTCAGTCATCATTAGTCAAGGAGAAGAAAAGTCCCCGGATATGCGTTTCGAGAGCGGGGACAGCAGCTGCGAGGACAACAGCTCTACAACCACAGACGCGTGCCACGGTGGAACCTCCGCAAAGAAAAACAAAATGATTACGAAAAAGAAAACACGTACAATCTTTTCTAAGAGACAGATTTTCCAGTTGGAGTCTACGTTTGACATGAAGCGCTACCTGAGCAGCGCGGAGCGTGCGTGCCTCGCCAGCTCCCTGCAGCTCACAGAGACTCAGGTAAAAATCTGGTTCCAGAACCGCAGGAATAAACTTAAACGGCAAATCTCGACTGAAATGGACGGTGCCGTGGGAGACTTTCCAGAGAGCGGGAAGGCAGTGGCTCTGGGGCCGCTGCCGGCGCTGTATAAGGAGAGCAGTGTGTTTGGTAGGTGCTTACTGCCCATGCCTCTGCCCGTCATGTACCCGGGAAGCAGCACGCCTTACCTCTGTTTCTCTGGCGCCTCCAAGTACTTCGGCTTGTACGATGGGGACGTATGAAGCACAAGGAGCACGGACACTGATGTGACAGGCTTCAGCATTCTAAAGTGTGGGGCAGGAACTGGGCTTGGACTGCAGCACGTATAGTTACATATCACACCCAAGCGGACTCAGATTTATTTATTTTCGAGCCTTATAGGCCCATATTTTCTAAGGTCTGCTATTCACATGTTTCAAAAACATAGCAGAGGCAAAACGGCAGAACACAGCAAGCCTTATGTGGAGGCCTGCTTCACTATCTATCCTATACAATCATATAATTCTAATATGTTATTATCATTATTATTATTATTATTATTATTATTATTGTTGCAATTATTATGATTATGATTATTATTATTGCCATTATTATGATTATGATTATGATTATTGGAGCAGCCTCAGTCACCAAAGAAATTATAGCCTAGACCCTAAAGCTATATTTGCATGCATTTACTGTACCATAATTTTAAATACACATAAATGATCATGTATCTAATGAATGTAATTAACATATTCTTATGGCTCACGCATGTTTATTTTACTTTATTTTTCGGAATATCCTTCTATGATTATGTTGTTTCATATTAGTGGCTCATTACTCCGTTGAACTGTTATTAAAATTGTAATTAAAGAAATAACACAAGAAGCTAACTAAAGATTCATGAAGTGCAAAATAAAAACATTGAGTAATAACTGATGAATGACAAGAAAAATACATCCTAACATGAAGGTGCCGTCCCAATTCATACATTTAATAATCATACTTGTTATAATCTCTCCTGATGAACAGCAGAGAAATTATCTTATGTCTAATTGTAAAAAAGAATACATTGAATAACTCAACCCAAAATCTTATTTTAAGAATTTTTTGGCTGAACCTTTTCTACTTGGTCAAAATGTGGAACAATTTGCTCCCAGAGTAAAACTTGGTTGTGTTCAACCTTGAGTATTATTACATCTTAAACAATACTTGGAAAAGATTATTTTCTCACAATTAATTTATATATTATGTTCAAAAAGCTGCAACATTTTATATAAAAAGTCACTTACACTCCACATTTTGTGCTATACAATGTATGTATTGTGTGTCCTCAAAGATGAGGAACGATAATTTCAGCATTTCAAAACCAATTCTATGCCTCATTATTATGATTTGAAAAGTATTTTTCAAACTCAAAGGGATCTATTGAAGCAGTCTTGCAATCTTGCGTTTACCCATAATTCACAGCAGAGGAAACGGTAATTTCCCAAAGTAGCAGATACTGTATATTTAGAAATACAGCTCATGCTGGATACACAATAGTATTTGAATTCTTGTTATTACAAGTGCTAATTGATTCTCCCAGTGCTCTTTTATTTAGTCACTTCAACCCTTTATCCCTCTCCATTGTCGCTGCACTTGACTTGTCAGAGCCCATCAGAGTCCAGTGTTTACTGAAGTGCGCTGTGCCCGGGAAAGGACACTGTACAACAATGGCCAAGCAGAGGGTGACAAAGAGGAATGAGAGGTCAGTCGGCTGATGATAGTGTTTGTGTTTTATGGCTCTATGGTTCTTTATTGCCAAGGTCTGATAGTCAGACAGGACAGTCGTCAAGATGCAAATTATATGTGTATTATCAGATCAAATCTAATTGCATCCAATGTGAATAACATTATACATTGAAGATAGGGCCCTAAAAAAAAAAACAATAAATTGTTTTGAGGCATGACAACATAAACAATGCAAACTCTGACTATCTAAATAGCAAACACAAAAGAGCGTTCCCCTCAGATAGATAAGAAACACACACATTGACGCTTATCAAAAACAGGAAACAAATATTCTAAAATGTCTTTGTGGCACATGACAGTTGTGTAGTGTTCACCACAACACGTTCAATTCTAAATGATCAGTTCAGCTCAAACTTGGGGCACAAACATTTCCTTAAGAACTCCCGTGGAACCTCACCCTCCGACGTGTCTCAACACCTGGAGCTGATTCCCCTCGCTGTTACTTTAACCTCCACTTCTGCAACTGAATGTGGACAGTCAAGACGGGAGAGGACTGAGAAAGTTCTGCCACAAATACATAACATAAAAAGTTCTGCAGATTGCATGTATATGTTTGTTCTCAATGTTTAACTGTAAAAACGTGTATTTTGAGAAGAAATATCACAATAGACCACATTCGAAATTAATATTAATTACAACTCATCTACCGTCTAATATAATACCATTTGAATATTATGTGATTGACATAAACAGCTGCATTTGGCAAATTAAATAATAGTAATACTTTTAAACTCAATTCAGCAATAACAACTTGTGGATTTTGAATTTACTCACATAACAGAGGAATCAATTCAACTAATGAACATGACTATTTCCTGATAACTAGAGTGTCTTTAAACAGATGTTAATTAGGAGGATTATTCAGTTTTAATTGTGCTTTCATACAGTGTGTGTAATCACTAGGGCAGACCTGAAACTGAAGCCTTGATTGTCCATGCCTCTATTGCAGGGACAACCTGAAACCTAAACTACATGACAGCACATTGTAAAGTAAACAAAGGGCTATTAGTTAGACAGGGAAATTCGAGACAGGACGTCCATGTATGTGTCGCACTTAAAGACCGTTTGATGGCCTATTGATCTGCTCAATTAGCCCAACAACCCTCTTCCCTAATAACAAGAATTGCTCGAGGATATTTGAGGCTGGGAGAAAAAACACTGTATATACTACATTTTGAGTGTGTACTTGTTTGTTATGTTTGCTTCATCCAATCGAAAAAGCGGCATAGTTTTGAGAAAGCAGGTCATGCAGAGGTAAAAGATTGGAAGATTTTTTTATTCATTCACAATAAATTAGTACACAATAATAAAAATATAAGAACATAAAACAATCTTTAACATTAATGTCTCTTTTTGATTGTTGTGGGAATAAGATTTGGAATGATATTAATGACTTGGGTAATTCATCATTTGAGTGAATTGGGTAAATCAGTTTCTGCTTATGTCCTCACGTGAACTAACCTTATACAGGTCTCAATATCGTATCAGTATGAATGGAAAATTGTAATGAAAGGGTAGGGAAAGTTTTCAACAGTGAGAAAAATGTGCCATGACTATTGAAACACTCACGACGGCCAGTCAAATGGCTTCACATAGCGCCGTCTCGATGGAGATGATCAGTTTGGAAATAGTTCACTACACCCACTGCATTTACTCTAATCTGTCTGAGTTGGAACAGCAGACACAATGTATCAATTAAAAAGCATTGTTTCAGAGGAGCTCCCTTACGTCCTGTCCCCTCAGACACCCTCGTCAGGATAATGTGCCATTAATCTACCACTGAAAACACATTATTGTCCAATCAATAGACTCGATGGAGGGATAAAGGCAGAGGAAAGAGGAGTAGGAAGCGGGGCAAGGACAGGACGCAGGGGAAAGATGCAGCGAATCTTGGGGGAGGCGTGTAGTAGAGAGATGGGGAGGACAGGTCCATAACACTTATCCATAACACCAGAGACGAGTGTGTGCAGACATGGACACTCTGTGGTCTCATGCTCAGAGTCAATACAAGTCCATTAACAGACAAGTGTCAGAAGCAAACTTTTCAGAGCCCCCCCTTGCACTGTTTAAAACCACATTTCTGTAAGATGCAGTGGACTGAAGCTCAACTGTGGCATGTCTGAGTCTAAAATAAGTATGCGCAGATATTTGTGCATCCGTACTATTCAGGTCCATAGTGACAGTTTCTTAGCGCTCCTCATTGAGCAGTGGAGCACATAACTGGAATATTACACACACCTTTCTAACATAATGAAATCACACAAATAACTACTGTGAAAATCCGCGCACTCAAAAAACAGCACAAGGAGGAAAAGTGAAAGAAGACATGTTGCTGTAATATTTATAATGGGTGCAATATGTAAAATGCACACGCAGCAAAACCTAAAGTTGGATCAACCTTGCTATACGTTAGATTATTCTGAACAACTAACTTTGCTATTTCCAGAAGAGTGAACATAAATTGCTACTTTTTATGCAGCAATTTATGGTGATGCAGCAAAAGGGGCCGATATTATGAGACTTGTTCTTCCTCTCTGCTCCGTTTCATTCAGACTGGATGGTATTGGCGGTTTTTGTTGTTGTTGGGATGTCACTTTGAATTAAATAAATAAAATAAATAAAAAATAATAAATGTATGGTACCATAGCAACAAGGAAGAGAGGACGACGTAATGTCTTAAGTCTGCAGAAGCGCAAGAAGTAAAGACATCTGGATTTCATGGCATCCAAGCATGTTTGGAGCCAAGGTAAGCATGCTCAAAGATAATGCTGCATCCCAAAGTTATTATTTACCAAGCCTTTTTCATAACAAGTCAACATTACAACTCAGCTGTAATTTGTGATGTGTCATTCGTCTCTTATCAAGTTAAAACCATAATGCTCTACGTGGGAATACAGCGGACATTTGCTGTCCGATAATTATGGTAGGTGAGTGTAGGGAACACTTGGCTTCAGAACTGGAAAAAAGTATTTTCCTCCTTGTTTGAATGGGTACGTCGTTAGCTGTAGCACCATGGTTGCTTTGACACAGACTGCAGGATAGCTCTGTTTTGTTGGCATTGCTACTATAGTTTGCTGTTCCCTTCAGTCAGTCACTTCGGATAGATTGAAGAGCCCTAAATAGTAGTGCTTATTTCGCAGCATTAATTTAATCTGCTTATGCTTGCAAAAGTAATGTAATCAATTTACCAGTGTAATGAACAAACAGACCCAGAGTTTGTCTGAGAAGGTAACTCTGGAAGTGACGTCACCCCACTAACTGTTAAAAAAAGTGTAATTTTCGATGTCGTTGCAAGAATTAACAAACCGTGTATTTTTATGTATGTATTATCAGTGGTTGTAGTATTATAGATTATCAAATTATTCAGCTTGAACCACCACAAGAAAGCCTTCTGCATGTTAGTACTTCCATCTGTCTTTGGTGACACTGACTGAACACTGTAAAAGCAGCAGCTGAGGGCCCCAGT